TCCATTGCAGCACTCCAGTCGTGAGACCGATGTAAACCCAGAGTAGACAGCAAATATCTGTTGAGAGGATAATTCCATGAAGACACTGCACCAAATGGCAAACAATAATGAGTACCTTATTTTTTTAAAACCAAACTGTGCAGGGGGTATTTTAAATTTTCCATCATTATATTGATAACATGAAAAACATGAAAAAAATAAAGAAAAACCTATACTAGATTATAAAATTACAATATTTTTTACTCTTATCTTAGAAGAGAAAGAGGCTTCGCAATGCCTTTGCTTGTACTTTTCATCTTCAGAGCTGGTCTCTAGAATCCCTGTTCATTTTTTTATGAAGTTTAACAAAAGCTACAGCATTTACGGTAGCAAGGGTGGCTGAGAATATGACGAACAGTAAGTACCATGAATAGATCTGAAAATTGCCTGATGTAACAGTTCTAGAAAACTCACTTTCTCTTGTCACCCTAGGCCTTTGTGACTCTGCAGGAGTCATTTCGCACTGACTTTCCTCTCCTCTCCAAAAAACTCAAACCAAACATGAGGAGCTTCAGCATCTGACAATAGACTTCAGCATCCTGCTTCAGCCCAGCCTTGATTCTCTTCTTCTATCTCCCAGCTTTGTTAGGACCTGTTTGCAGTTGCTCTTCAGTGTTCCTCACAAGATCGAGCAGACTGTACTGCAGTGGACCTTCTCTAAAGTAAAATTTGGAGTCAAGTAGTTTGTGGTCAGGGAGCTGGAGCAAAAGCTCAACTTACAGCTAGGCAGTGGGGAAACGTCAGTTGAAGGCCAGTGAGATGGACTGCCTGAAGAACAACATGGTGATAGGGAAATGAGTCACTGAAGCCAGCTATAAGCTTTCCCCCGATCCTGGCACATGTGAAGCGTGGGAAGAAAGTGATGAGCCAGGCCACCTGGACAACATAGTTAAAAAAAATATCCATCCCTAAAAATAAACTTGGATGAACTTTATAGCCACAAGCATTCCTATCTACAAACCACAGTTCTGTGTGTTTACACACTTTGAAATGGGAAAGGGAGACACATCCCAGGACCACAGGATTTTAGGTGATACTGCTGAGGAGCATGCTAGCACTTCATCATATTAAGCAGTAGCTACAAGATGATTTCTAATTTCACTAGAACACATTTCCCGGAAGATCTAAAAATATAAAAAGGCCATCAAATAGTTATCTATCACTGTCTCTCTGTTTTGCACTGACATTGGTATTTATCAGTTTCACTTGATTCCAGTTCTTTCTAGCTCCTTGTCTGCTTAATATCATTAATATGTGAACAGTTATGCATTTTCCAGCGAAGTTACTACTGACTGAAAGACTCTGGGACTCAATCTGCATGGCAAAAACCTTAAGAGAAGATGCATGGATTCTCCTATCTTTACTCTTGAATAACTGATTAAATGAGCTGGAAGAAAATGCAGAGGGGTATTATAGTTATGATGAAAAACCAGCAACGTTTCTTATTTTCACATGCCAATAGACTTATTTTCTGAACAGACCACAAAAGAACCTTTAGGCGTTTTCCCCACTGCTGGAAAATTTGTAAGCACTTTTCTTTCTTTTAAAGGTCAAATATGGTTTACATAGCATTTAGTCGTCAGTATAGAATATACTCTTTGCAAAGTCTGAAGCAAAGGTATTAGAGTCATCATTCACAGTTTTTTCAGGTATATATATTAGTAGTACATACATACTTTGGCATCCGCAGATTGAAATAAATGTTGTTCTTCAATGACTTATTATACTTTTAAATCTGCATGAGTAACAATACACACTTCTGCAAAGGAATGTATGAACTTTTTATTTGCCAGTCAACTTCTCTGGGACATTTTTTCTGAATTAATAAACAGAACGGCTCTGCCAGTCTGTCTCTTTGAAATGAGTGCATACTTCTGTGGTTATTACATTTGGAATCTCCAAAAACATGGTGCTGAAAGTAGGAAATGAATAATATCATTCAGTGTGGCATCATGTGGGTTGAGCCTGGTTGAACATTAGTTACACAAGAGTAATTTGAGGGCAAGCAGCCTGCTTAATCACTGCATCATTGCCAGCACCAGTCAATCATTAGGTGCCACAGGAATTTGAGCCCACCAGAAGTGGGTGTTCTCCCCCCAGTTCTAAAGCTATGGGGTCTGGAGTCACCCCGGGACAGACCCTACAGAGACCCCAGGAGCAGCTGAGGGCCAAGAGCCGCAGGGGGGATTGCACAGCCCACCCCATGGGACCAATGCAATGACCACTCCTTGACTCACTTCTGGAGCATGCCATCTTCCCCGCCACAGGACAGGGAGGCCATGTCACTTGCCTGGTATCCAAGTTCATTTAGCCCCCACACTGTCAATTTGGTCTCAAACCTTGACAAGATTATAGCAAATACATATTAAAAGTTGAAAGGAAATCTGTCAGATCTATATATAGCTGTTATGGACACACCAGAAAAGAACGGGTGCATGTGAAAGCACTTTATCATTGCTTTGGTGGTTACTACTCTGTACATTGGCAAATTATTCTGTGTTGGTGGACTTCATGAACAGAGGTCCACCACTAAGCATTCTTAGTATAAATTTTATTTCAATCCAGAATTGTTTTTTTCCAAAAAAACCTCCTATATTCTTGCCCACATTCTTTCTGGATTCTCAGCTATCTCTATATGAGAACCTTTCAGAGCCAGGAGTGTGTATTTCAAAATCAGACCTGCAATTATTTTCATGTCACAGAGGTATAGCCACGGGTAGCACCTTCCTTGTTCACACCTGCACAGCCAACACTGGCGACTGACAGCCAGCGCTGCACTGAAAGCATAATTCAAAAAATCTGTTAAGTTTAACCAATGAAAAATATACGTATACAGTGAAAACAGTATTAAGTCTGGGTTTGATTAGTGTAACTGTCATGTATACATTTACAGGTCCACACTCCAGTATTCTGATTAGTTTTAAATCACTATAAATAATTGCACAGAGAAAACTGTAAATATTTAACTAAGTTTTTCTTTTAAATCAACTTCAGTTAACCAGCGCAACTCATGTTTGTAGCCAGGGTCGCAATCATTTGGGCACTTTTCAAAGTGAAGAATTACGAAGATCTGATCTTTAAATTTGTTTCTTTCCACATCTCAAAAACAATGACTACTCTTTATTAAGGTACTAGCAGAGTTATCTCATCTAAACACTAGGTCAACTGTAAAATGAAAAATTATATGCTTCTGGCTTAAGGCAAAACAAAGAGGAAAACAAAATCACAAAAATCACACAGCAGAAGCTTGTAGCATACTAAATGCAGCCAAACTCTCACGGTAAAACAACTTGGTTGGATGCTAATGCTACTGTTCACATCTGAGAACTGCTGTTGCAGGACTGAAAAAACCTAAATACCCATTTTAGATAGAACCCTAATTTCCTTTACTTCCTTTGAAGAAAAGCAACACTGTTAGTTTGTTTATGGGAATGACTGATCAATCATATCCACCCACAGAAAATAAAGGTCTATGAATTTGATTACTACTCCTAACGCTGTGAGAGAGAAGTCTTACAGCCTTATAGCTCAGCCAGCAATTTTGATGGCGGTCACAAGTTGCCACTTTCATACTGGAGCTGCAGAAGACAAGGAGCTCAAATCACATTCTAGTAAATAAACAAGCTGGTTTGATTTTACTAAGGTGGCCTGTATCTCTCAGTCCTGCTACACTTTAATGATCCAAAGGTACACAATACTTCCTCTACTGCAAGTTCTTCTTAAATGATTCTGTTAATTTAAGAACTCAATCTTAAACCACATTTGGGAATTCTGATAATCCAACCATTTTCAAAAGTTGTGGTCCTACAGATTCAGACATTTAACTTTAAGCAGACAGCACAGAAGACGTTCACAAAAACAAACATGAAAATTAATTATCAAAATGAATTAATTTTCCTAATTTGCATAGTTAGATAATGTGTCTACAGTAAAATAAAAATTTGGTAAAATTCTAAGAATTAAAATATGTTCTGAAAGTTCTGGATAGACAGTAGAGACTAGAATGCAAAGAACATACCTGCAGTTGCATATCAGCTGCAGCACACACCTTTTTGGACTCACATAATCTCGACACCATGTTTTTTGGTAGTGGCTTGAATAAAATAAAAAAGTCAGAACATGTTTAGAATTGTTGTATATTTGTAAATGGTATGCTTACTACTAGAAAAGGCTGAAGATGAAAAAAAAACCAACCAAACAAAAAAACACTCCAACCAAACAAAAAAAAAACAACAAAAAAAACCAAAAACAAACAAAAAAAAACCCAAAAAAAACTCCTGGTGGTAATAAAACATATTTGAAGTGCTTTGCATTGAGGAAGGAAATATCATTTGCTAAACAAAGCCTTAAATGGGCAATTAAGATATCGGCAGTAATTTACACAGCAGTCAAGAAATCCCTGCATCTCAGTGTTTGTTTTTCTATAAATTGATCCTACATTCCCTTAAATGCTTATTAAAAATATTATGACTATCTTTAGAGATAAAGAACAGATGGGATAGTTAAAGTCCTCCCAGGTCATCCTGACTAATCTTCAAAAGCAGATACTATAATAGATTCTCCTGTTGGTCTTTGAGCATAGTTCACTTAGATTTACACGGAGGCCCACATAACTCCCATTGTGCCGGCAGGGTTTTCATAACTTCAACTGGGACAGCATCAGGCCTTCTACCCTAACCCACATAAAAGTGTTTGGTCATATTGAACAGTAAATAGCTACCCTTTGAAATTTTTAACAAAGTTGAATTCATTCCACATCTATGGCAATAAAATTATCCATGCCACCACAGGCTGAAAGTCAGAGACATTTTTCAAGTCATTAAGCAAACTCTTTTTGACTTTCTATCCAAACGTCTACAAATACATTGAAAGACTTTTGAATGCTTAAAGATTTTTAAGAATATCTGTATATGAATGCTTGACCTTACACTTCTTCCGCTGCTTCCTGAAGCTTTTCAATAGATGTTTTTCCTAGTAAGCATATTCTTTTTTTTTGCTAGCAGTTTTATTAACCAAACATATTAAATATGGGTAAAATAACTGGGTTCTTGCTAAAATATTAAGTTACTACAAGTTGTACAATGTAATACAGATGTTTGGTATTACACTGAACTCTAGAAGCATACTTACACTTTTACAGTGTGTTGAAGTGTTTAAGAAATAATACATGAGAGTCTACGTATCCTGATGGCAGAGCCGTATGTTTAGATTCTGTGCAAATGATATGACTTCAATTCAAACAATGTTAATGTTCACAGAATAAAAACGCAACTCCAGAGAAGTTACACATAAGCGAGAAAAATGTTATCAATTAACTCCGTGGAATCTGGAAGTTAAAGCAGATAAGAAAAACTCTCAAGTTGCACAGCTGTTTTATGCAATAGCTTGCCAAGGCTTGTAACTTCTTCTCCAAGACAAATGTTAGCTGGGTCAAGAATGGGATAGAACAACACCCATTATTTTCCCTGTCATAAATGTGCACAGCTGTTAAATTTCAACACAGAAAAATGAACCAATGAATATGAAGTCTGTCCTACAGTACATCCTTGTTAGGCCACTATTCACCCTTCCCAAATACAAAAATTCTGTTTCAAATTACATGATGATTTTGGACTACTAGAGCAAGAGTAAATGGGCAGTTATCCATAGTAATAAAGATGGCTGACTACCTTGAGGTTCAATACTGGATTTAGTATTGTTAAAAATACTACTTAATTATGTAGACAAGTTATTAAAGCAAGAAGCAAAGCAGAAAAAAATTACAAATGGTAAAAAGTATTTTGGTTGGACAATTTTTCTCCTGGTTCTATGAACATCTCTTGTCTCATCCTCTTACACAGACTGAGGCATGCACTTCACTGACTTTTCATCCTGGAACTAAAGCACATGCAGATTTGCAATAACACGGTTTCAGTTGTCATGCAACAAACCCTTGTGTAAGGAAACCTATAGAATTTTGAACAGGTTTTGTTATTAAGCACCAAACCTGCCAGCGAGTTTTGGCAGCTTTTTGGAGGCTTTCATCTCCTAGTGAAGTAGTGCAGTATGGAATTAAACAAAACTGATTTATTCTAGCGGCACCTGTATTTTGGATACAGTAAGGTGTGAGAAAACTGGATGGGAATTCTTAAATTGTTATTTGTCAGTGTTAAAAAAGCTGAACATTCAAAAGCTTGGCAACAGCAAATATGTATATTTTACACAGTTATAATTTAAGAGTGTTAAAGCCAAGAGCACTCCTACCAGTAAGGTCAAACCAACTCTTTCAACATAATGGATTTTCAATTTTATATTTCAGCTATATTAAATGATGGTAAGAGGAAGTTAAGTGCACAGACTTTCAGTTGGTACACAAAATAAATAGAACAAAAGGCACTAAGACTTTTCTAATTGGCATTTTGGTAAACCACAGTCCCACAGATCCTCAACTGAATTGGGAAATCCAAGTTTGCAGTTCACTGGGGCACAGAGCAGCAAAGTTTGGCGATGTGGACAGACTTTGTACACTCCCTGGGAGAGTTGGTCACATCCAGCCCTGCTCAAGAAACAACTGAAGCAGGTCTAATTCTCAGTTCAGAGCTAAGCATTTCTTACAGACTCTCCACCCAAGACAGTCTTGCCTTCTTTTGATTGTACTGCAAATAGCTGACCTGAAGCTGGAGAAGAGTACTGAAAAGGCAGCCTCTGCATTCACCCGTTTCTTCCTTATGTTCTGCTACAAGCATCTACCCTATTCTAAATCGAACTCCTGATGGGAGACACAGAATGATCATTAATAATGTACTAAAATCCCTTTGCACAGGAGATGGCTTAGCACCACCTTCTAGAGACCAAGTAAAATGTAGGTGATACCGAGAGCCTCCAAGAAAATCTTATCTTTTTTGCAGCCGTATGAATATCAAACAAACAATGTAGATCTACTCTGCTCTGAAAATCAAGCTTTACTGTTCGAGCAGATTAAAATCAACAGGAAATTACAAATCACTCTATGACAATACCTATTGACAAAAAGGCACAGGAGAAAAACATAAATGTTCTTTCGTTTAAATCTATCAGTGCTACTGATCCGGCTCAAAAATTGTTTTGTGATCATAATTCACAAGCCATGCCAATTTGGCACCAGAAAAACATTGCCAAAATTAGATTAAATTGAAAGAATGATAAAAAAGAGATCACTTATTTTTCCCAAAGCACCTTTGTGATTGTAAAATTTAAGATTTCAGGGAACTAAAATTAGACTCCAGAGGGTTTTTAAAAGATCACCACTCCTCTCCAAAGTTTGTTTCTGTGAATGTCACGCATACAGATATGCTGAGGTCTTGAATGTACTGAGGAAGATGTACTGTTTCAGGCAATAGAAACTATTTCTCCTTGCTCCATTACATACAGTCCCTTACTAAGCAGTTGAGTGAACTAAAAAAAAAAAAAAAAAAAAGCATCAGCAGGATTATTTTACTTATCCTGAAAGATGAGCTCTCCGGTAAAACCAGAATCAAACTGTCATCCTCATTCTAAAAGAAAGACTTCACAGAGCTTTGGCTAAAACTATTTTAATTGAATAACCATTCCATTTTTTAAATTTAAACACTACGTGCTTTACTTCGGGTTCCACTTTTCCATCCTTCTATATTAAGTAACTTTAAGATCTTGGCATGAATTTTTCAGCATGTTTGCCATGGTGGCTAAAAGAATAGAATACCCTGTGTCCCAAAGCACACTTAACTCCTTACTGTTGTGTAGTAACAGCAACACATTACGACTGTTTACTATCTGTGGGCTTATTCTTGTAATCATGCTAATACAATACTGCCTTTGTAATTCCATCTCTGTGAAAAATGAAGTCAGTTCAAATTTGAACAGCTGAAATACGGGCTTTTGTTCAAGAGAACCTCCAAAAGACACACAAGCTTAAAATGATTTAGCTCGACAGACCTACCACATATCTGTGCACTTAACATATGAAATTAAACAAACACACACAGTGATACAGATGGTACGTATGCACCAGATTGTCTGCTTAAGCACTGTTACGACCTCATTTTGGTACAGCTTGAATTCATGAGCTTACCTGAGTAATTCAACTTGAGTAACTAATTAACACAGTCCTCTCTATTCCTTTATTTTTCCTCAAGGATTTTCTGTTTTGAGTTATCTTTAAGATGAAAGGAAAACGAGGCTTGCTACTTTCTTAGAACAAATATTTTTGTGCTGGCCAGCTTTTTGAACTAAATTCACAAGACTTGCTTCTTTTGCCAGAAGAGCTTGCAAGCTTTTTTGCTCCTCAGTACTCAACAGCAGAACCATCCAAAATGCACAGAAAGCAGAGACAGGCTTTCTGTAAACTTCAAGATATTTTGGACCAGATCTTCATGATCCACATCTACATGCATAATGCATTCTCATCTTTGAAAGCCTGCCCACGAAATCCTTTTTCTGCAATGCTACTAAAAAACAGTTTTCAACAGTTCGTATGTTTTAATAATCAAAACAACACCTCCTTCCCCTCCTCTTCCCATAAGCATAAGCACTGATCCTCAGTGAGGACTGCAGCTCAGGACCAATCCTTCTACAATTGGCTTTTATGGCAAAGGCAATCAGAAGCTGAGACTACACTACCAAGTTTTTCTGACGTAGTTATGTTCAGGATGAGTATTAAAAGACACCACCTAATACTTACATGCAAAAACTATAGCATAGATGCAGCAATGCAAAAATGCTTTTTAGAATTATCTGCACTGCATCCTCAACAAACTAAGTCAGCAGAAAACCCCCCTTCTCTCAACACCTAGCAGAGCTATGTTAGTGTAGTTGTTGCAGGAAAGATTCTTCTTGTACAGAAAAGCTCAGTACCTTTATTCATAAAAAGAAACTTAATGGAAGTTCTCCTATGGAACAACATCTGGATGAAATGGTTTTACAATTTTCACATCTTAACTGTTTCATCTGCTTTCCTTACCTCCCCTTGAAAAGGGGGTAAAGTGGACTCATTTTTCTTTCAAATAACTAAAAAACTGGAGAAGAAAATGTTGATTCAAATTTCCATTTCCACATCAAAAAATTAGTCAGGGAACAAAGACAGAAAATGTAAGCCCCAAAAGGATTTTTGTGAAGTTGTAAATGTAAGAGAGCTGGGATTTTCCATTCAAAGTATTTTGTAACATATACACAACAGATAAAAGTAATTCCTGAAACAATCACTGAATTTCAAGAACAGAAAAGATTATTTCAATCTATTTGTATTTAAATGACAGATAGAGAAATCTGACATCAGATTCTTAAAACTTGCTTAGATGAACCAAAATAAGCAAAAGCAGATTTATATATGTTGGATATTGGTTTAAAAACACATTCTAAATTTTCAAAAAAGCAATTAAAAGGAAGCAGTCTAAAACCCTCAAGAGCCACACAACAGTTTCAGGCTCTTTTTCTCATCTTCCAGCAAAATCCATTCTTGTCCCCTTCCAGACTGAGCTTCTACATTAAGCCTCTCTCAATTGCTCTCTGAAAGGGCAAGATTTCACTACCAATAAACAGAATAAGTTTTTGGAAATGCCAAATGGGACGCAGCGCCTGGTTCTTAGCTTTTGCACTGCAACTAAGCATGGTTTAGATTTGTTAAGCCATTTTGAAAATACAAAGCCATAAATAATGTTCCACAAATCTCTTTCAGATGTTTTAGTCAAGCTCATTCTCTGAACTCATATGCAATCAGATTAACTCCACAATGTTTAAACACTACATGAACTTCATAGAGAACACTAGAAAGCAGTATTTCGGTATTTGGATTCAAACGTACAAATCATGAACATTTGTCAACTGAGTACTTTTAACTCCCAGGTTTCAAGGAGACTTTCTTAGTGCTCTGCAGAATTGAAAAAAAAAAAAAAAAACCACAAAAAACCACCAAAACACCAAACAGATTTACAGAGCAAATTTCTCAGATAGTATCTACTAAACTAGAAGTTAGGCAACCTATTTTTCTAACTGTTACAGTGGAGGCAAACATAATTCCACCTTCGTAATACTGAAATATACAGAATGCTTAGTATTGGATAAAAAGCTTCAATAAAGTGTAACATTACACAATCTAAGAGGCTTTCTTGGTTTTGCATTGATGGATAGTCTATTCTTCAACCATTACATCCGAGTACACTGAGACTTGCCTCAATCAAAAGCACTGGAAAAAGATCTTTGGTTATTGTTTACTGGTTTGTATTTTTGAAATGGCTGTACAAATACAAACCATGTTATGCTGCCATGCATTAAAGCAACCATTGAAAGTCACCTTGTTCCAAAGAGCACTGTTTTCTAAATTTCCCATAGAAAGTAGATCCTTGCATTAGACCAGCATAGAATAACTTTATATAAAAAAGGATCAGAGTTTTAATGCAGAGATTTATGACTGCCAGAATCTAACTAATCCTAATCTTAAACTAACTCTAAATAAAGCAGTACACTTCTCATCACAAAATATTTCAATCACTACCCTACACTGTGCTAAAAATGGGAGTTTTTAAACACTGCAGATAATTTTCATTTATTTCCATGATTTGGTACCTGAGCTTTATTTTAAGACAGACTTTAGACAGTTCGATGATGAATGACTATTTTTGCCAAAACCCATCTGTAATTAAATTTAAACATTCCACATAACTTGATTCACACAGAAGTTGTTCACCTACTACACTAAGTTTGTAGTATAGAAACTACACAATCTTTGTAGGAAGAAAAGGTTGAAAGTTTTAAATATGTAATTGGAACCTTGGATGGAAAGATCGGGTATTCTTTTACAGATTACATTTATCTTTTCTGCAATGAGAATATTAACATTTTTTCTGAATAATTAAGATTATAATATTAAAATAATTTCTATCCCTTGTTTATTTCTACTTTAAACATTATTAACAAATAACACATGAAAATGTGATTCTTTTCCTGAATACACTTATTCCTATTTTCAATATTTTACATACTAATTTTCCCTACCTGTCCCGTTTTATAATGCCTTGCAAACTGGTTAACCACTCGATAGTCATTTGCAAAGTACTCCATCAGAATTGAGGGAACTTCAGCAAAATCAGTAGGACATCTGGTTCCTAGAGGTAGAATAATTGTACACATTAGCATTTGCCATTTTCATTAACACAAATAGTTAACTCTTCCCAAAAGGTTTTGCAACTTTCAGTTTGGACTTTTGGTGAACTTTAATGTTCTTTCATTTATTAAGTCAATATTTTATTTCCATAGCATTATTGTACATATTGCCAGAAAAGCTTCATTATAATCCTACACATTTTACTATAAATCACAAAGTAAAACAAAATATTTGAACAGCTGGGTGAGGCACCTTATAAAGCTCTGGATCACACCCTTTTTAAACTAAACCAGACTGCAGCCAAACTGGCCCTACATGAAACACCAAATCTATTTAAGTGTCCTAAACCTAAATCAAACTACAATGTAAATAAAACTCTGCCTTAATCCCATTCACAGTTACAATTTTTAGCTTCCATCTGTTTGCTGAGCTTACTTATGCTTTATATTAACCTCGCTTTATAATACCAAATCATTCATCCAAGGAACACTCTTGCAGATTGAAGAAATGTTCTAAGTAAGTGCAATGAGGTAATATCTTAGCAGGTAGTACTTTCAAAAAGCACTTTCCCAAAAACCTTATTTACTCTAATCTTTATCAGCACCTTACACAATGGAAGTTACTAAGAAGTATAACACATCACCAAATCAAAGCTGCATTTCTAATTTCTATATTCAAGTTAGAGATGTACAAAGTTGTTGCTTTAATAACGGACCCACTGGGTCATCACCTCTATCCCTGTCTGCTAAAGACAATGTCAACATTCAAAACTAGTCTTAAATGTAAGCACGGTTTTTGCTTCTACTATTCTTTCTTGAAGACTATTTTTTAAAATCAGTCCTTTAATCTTTACAAATCTTTCTCTAATTTTTAATCTGAATTCATCTGTTTATACTAATGTTTTCAGACCAATACTGCTCTTTAGTATAAACAGCATTTCTCACACTGTTTTTTACCTCCTAAACTGAGAGAAACTATGTTCTCTCAGCCATCGTTATCCAAAGGCAAGATAAAGTCTAAAAGACTACCCATTTTAGCTCTTCTCTGCACCTGTTTCAGTTTGAATTCACCTTCAGACCAGACACAAAACCATGCCCAAGCATTGCATGAGGTTTCACCAGTACCTTTCTTAATCATTCTAATACTTATTGCTGTTAGATACACCTCTGATGTAATTTCAGATCACATTCGCCCCTTCCACAGACACATTAGCTATTTGCTAATGCATTAACACATAAAACTTCTGTTCTTCTGTTCTTCTACCACTGTTGAAATATCCATTTGATAGCATAAATTCTCTTTGTACTCTTTAAATGCATGATCTGCACTGTGTAGTTCTGAATTGCATTTTACTTCTAACACTGCAGTATCCAGTCATTCAGTTCTTATGCAATACCCCAAATCCTTCTTTTGTACCATCACATTTCATTAGTAGAGTCTTTTTGTTGTTGTTGTTTGAAAATCGTTTTTAAAAAGCCTAAAACAAGGCAGGTCCCTAGACAAATGCCTGCAGAACTACACTGATGTTCCCCTAGCCATTTATGCTTTCTCAGTGCTCCTTAATAAAGTGATAGAATTCTTTTAATATCCATTAAAGGGACTTCTGAAAAATTACATAATCTAAAAGTCAGGAAGGTAAAAGGTTGGGCAGTTGTCTGGAATAAGTTAGTCCTCCTTTAAAACAAATCTAGGTATTCTCTACTGCATGATAAACTAAAATGGAATACAACCTAGGTTTTAAAAAAATCTTATACACATACATATGCATTAAACAATCAATAGTAATACAGTAAAATGAAGATTAACTTAAAATGAAGCACATCTTTAGTCAAAAACATACAGTATTATCCAAGTTTGGGGCCCATTAGCAGCAGAATGGGTTCCTGAATATTTGGGAATGTTAATCAGAAAAGGGGGGCAGGGAAGAGTAGGAAAAATGTCAAAAACTCCGTGCATCTCAACTAGAAAATCAAATTTTTTGTTCTCACAATAGCCTGTAGTCATCCTGTTTCTGCACTTTACCACCCTAGTGTCTCGTGAGAGCAGATGGCCCCTAACAGACATCCCTGGGACGAGCCATGATTGTCACACATTCCAAACCCTAGAAAAAAGGTTCTCTGCAGAAACAACACGACTGACCTCCAACGCTGTTTTTGCAACACTAGATCTGGAGTGAAATCCCCTGGGACGCAGGACTGCCTGGAGCTAAGGCAATGCTGAAACCATACACAGGGGCTCATGGAAAGTTTGAGCCTCAAAATTAGCTATTTCGTGCCCCTTCAAGACTTTCCGACATGTAGACGAACACAATTCACCACCACAACAGGAGAACCCCACCAAAGCAGTTACTTTGGGCATATAAGTACCCCTGGAGGTCAAGAAGAGCCGTCCCAAGGAGTATACAGAGATTACCCTGAAAGAGCATATACAGTGCTCATTTGTTTTAACAATGTGCAGTAGTGACATACTTACAAACAGCTCAGTGTATTTAAATTTAAGTGGAAGACTTAAGAAAGAATATTTTGTCACTGGTTGCAAAGTATCTGTCGATAACACGTAACTCTACCACAGAGTCCCCTTTATATCATTAGCATAACACAAAAATGGTAAAACATAAAAAAAATCCTTCAGACATGGGAGCTACAATTTCATTTGTTTGGTTGTGGTTTTTTTTTTTAAATAAGTAAATGTCTACTGCAAATGGGATTTCCAGCACACTATTATAGAAGAGGATATATCAAGCTGTCCGCAGATAAGAAAAGTAGCGTACCAAGCAGCTTTAGCCAGGACATGTCTTTGACCCATTTGCCACAACTGCAGGCCACAGCAGCCTGCGAGCTGTCAGCCAATACACTCATTGCCACTGCTTGAGAAGAGGGACTAAATGAAAAAAGGCAATATTCCTTCTCTGTGCGTCCACTAAGCTGTGATTGCACATTCATTCATGTTCATTTACATATGATAAAAAGGCCTACCAGTTAATCATGCTTGCAAATACAATACTTTTTTTTTTAATTTATCAACTTCGCTTTGATCAGAATCAACTAGAAAAAGGCCTGGCTTTATCGACTTTCCATATTGCTCTTTGCAAGAACTAATACACTAATTTTCCTTAATTCAATTTCCTAAACCATTTCCAACCCAGGATTCATTGTGGTTTTACACCAGGTAAAAGTTTAGCTCAATTTATTTTCAATCCTTCAACTATTCCATTATTATAAACTCCACATAAGGCAAACTTGCAAGAGTGCATACCATCACTATAACAAAGATTAGCAATACAGAAGGAAGAGATACAAGTGCCTAATTCTTCTTAGGAGAAGAAGAATATTCAAGTGTTGTTTGGTTGGGTTTTAGATAATATTTGGGGATCTGATATTGTATTTTCAAGTCATCAAAGATGTAGAAGCATCAACATGACTCAAGCACTTCTGGTTCATCATCTTTTTTTTCTGTTTTCTTTTTTTCTTTTCTTTCTTTTCTTTTTAATCTACTCCCTTTTTTTAGAAATTAAACATTTAACTAAAACAAAACAATAACTATTCTAACTTTCTTACCAGTGACATGTTGGTACCGAGTTCTTCCCAGCATAGAATGCATAGCATGTCCCATTTCATGGAAGAGATTCTCCATCATGCCAGGACTTAGTAGCGTTGGTGCGCCCCTTGTTGAATGGGGCAGGCTAAGCATAAGAACAACTACAGGCAGCTGGTACTCTCCATTTTCCCTTAGCCTGCCTCCACGAACTGTAAAGTGACAATCCTTTTCAAGATAAAAGCAAACATATGGACAGGCAATGTCATTATATAAATTATATTAAAACAATGATGAAATTATTAAATTAAACTTAAACTATTAAATCAAACCTAAACATATACTCAGTTACACAAGTTGAATTCAATGATCGTAACAGTGTTGTTCAATAGCAGCACGCTGTTTCTCCATCTTTATTATTTGCTTCATATTCATAAGGAAACTACCTTATTCCATAAAGAAAAGACTGTGTTGCTTTTAGAAAATAATTTTTTGTTGTTTTAGAATTATCAAAACCTCTCAATTTTTCTAAAAAATATCACTAGCTCAAAGAAATTTACCGATGTGCCAAATCCGTAATGTATAGATTAAGTTCTCTCCTCATTCTTCAGCAGTAACTTCTTCATAAAATATACTGCACAGCATTCCTAGTATATTGTGAAATAATAGCAAAACAGAGTAATATGTTAAACTAATGTAGATTTGTCTTACCACTTACCACCTCACTAAAGGTGGTAATTTGCAGATGCTTCTACAGAGTGAAGTGTCTATTGTACTGCATCCTATAATTAATATATTGGCACTAGGCAGCATGAGTGAGTGATCTGCAACAGTTGGAACCATCCACAGTTTTAATTAGAATTTTGAATAAAAATTAATTGTCATTATGAGCTTTCACCTTTACAGAGTATTAAAACTTCAGATTGTTTTTACTTTTAAATAGTAGGCCAGAAAATAGTGTTTAAAAATCTACCACTTCTCTAAACAGAGTTCTAGGACATTTCATAGTGCCTGTCATTCTGTAGAACAAAGAGTCTGAGTTCAGCCTATCAGGTGATATTTTTTAAATGAAAGGTTACTCACAAAAATATTTTACCTAAAACCACATTCAAAGTTACAGACTTCCCCTGTTTAAACATTTACATTTACAGTAAAACTTATATTGAATGCAAATGGCCCTAACGCTACAATCACTACTCAAATAAAACCCACACTGGAATCAGATCATAAATGTTACCTGATGTGGTTTATCAGGTCGCTGAAAGAAGTCACAATAGATGTATCCTAGCAAACCTTCAGTTTCATGAACAACAGCCTGAAGAAAAAAAAGTATCATTTCCACAGTGAAAGCACTGATAAGACATGTAAATTGAAGACATAGTATTCTAATCCAAAGATTTATAATGAATAAATGACAAATAAACCGGGAATAATTAATGTAAAATCTGTGGGTAATTTTAGTTGGAAAAAAAATATATACAAGATTCACAACTTGTCCCTCAAACTACAGCCATTTCTGCATTTCACTCAAAACTAATTAGTCACAGATTATTAAAAGTAACACTGTCTGTAGCCCCTAAGTGACTTCTGAGACAGTAACAAAAGCTGATTTACCATGGAAATAAAAATAGAAAGAGTAGGGAGTAATTATAAATTGACCCACAGGATATAAAGAACAGCAGCTCTTGCTGGAGGCAGAAGAGCAGTGAAGAAGATCTGGCAGTGAATACATGGAGGGAAGACAACAGAAGAACCTGGGAACCTGATGAGTAAATTATCGCTCAAGTTTTTATTTCCACCCTCCCCTAAAAACAGGGCAGAAAAATAGAGACGTAAAAAACAATCTCAAAGCAAAGATGACGTACAGAATAAAAAAATGAGGCAAAGACACATGACTGCTAGAATATGCACCTACAGCATTCTAGTCATCTACAGTCATCTACAGATTGAAACTAAAAAAAACTAGCAGGGCTCATTCAGAAGGACGGATTGAAAGGTACAACAATAATCTCCAAACAGAGAAACTGCTTCTGATTCAGGCACCCTTCACAGAGAGGCATATTATAAAGGCCGTAAAATATCAAGCATACAAAAGGCACTTAGAGAGAGTATAAAGCCCTTGAGGTCTAACTTCCAACTAAAATTAGACAACTAGTGTGTGCTTTTGATAGGTACCCAAGCAATTTAAAAACAAAATCTGATTCATGGCTCAGAGGAACATACCATCTCGTCTAACTTCCTTTGTCGTTTCAGATGCTGAACAAGAATACTTACCAACTTTCGAACATCTTCAGACCAAATCTCTCCTCTCTGTGTCTGTTCAGCATAAAGTGAGATTCCTAGGAGCTGACTGAACAAAGAATTCAAACCTTCCATGCACGCTCCAAGAGAGAAAAATGGACAGTATAAGCCAGGATCGATGTTGTACCTGGAAAATACAAAAATCCCAAACCAGTCAGTTAGTTGAGCTACATAAACTACAGTCTTCACCTCCAAGTCACAGGATGCGACAAAATATACCGGATAAGCCTCAAGGCCCTTATTGAGCATGTTTGGCTTTATTTTTCAAATAGTGAAACTAAGTCATAGACTAGTTATGGCACAGTGTTTCACAGTAACTCAATCTTTCTTATACTCAAATTTGGATACCGAATTCAGCAGATGGTGACTATGATTTTCAGAGATGTGGTGAACACGTAGCTGAAACAGACCATGGCAACACCATGGGTGGCCAGGCTGTGGCTTTTGATCCACTAGAGGCCACCAGCATTCAAGTGGCATTCCCAAGCCAAGGCTGCGTCGTGTGACTGATCAGAAAATGGAGCTGGCTTTGGCTGTGGTGTAAGCCAAATCCTCAGCTAGGGCAGGAAACCAACCAGTAAGCACTGCTGACTCTGCAGTCTTGTCTTTCGCTGGAGCAACAGAAACACCAAGGACACACAATCACCTCCCATGCATGAATCACATCTCAAGCTCTGGGGACTCTCTGAACCACGTAGAAAGTATCTTACAGCTTTGAGCCACATGAAGATTTTAGTATGTGACGTGGAGTTCAAGCATGGCCAAGCTTCCTGAGCCTAATATCAAACAACTAAATATGTTCAAGACATTGTAGCACAGAAGACACATGTGGGGAGGAAGACACCATGCATCTGCACACACATAAACTGAGAATGAACAAAAAGCAATTATAAAAGTAGTTCAGAGATGTATGCAGCCTATAGGCTCAAACTTCCTGAGACTCTGACCCTAAAAAGTAAACAAACTACAAGTGCATCAAGCAAACAAATGCTTTGCAAACTTACACCTTCAACAAGCTGCTCAGGGCCACGCAACTCTTTGGAGACAACAGCAAAATCAGAACTGGAATCTCCCTGTAGTTGTGCGTGCACCCCAAATGGCAAAAATGTTCTTGCTCCCTCATTTTACCTACAAAGTCCAAGTGTTAAGTTATTTATAGCATTTTCTGGGGTCTAGAGTAAAGACTGTTAACTCTAGAGAATCACGGTCCCTTCCTTCTATCTTCTTTTTTCTTCCATGTCCTTGTGCTTTTGCGTCTTAATGAAATGGTAACTAGTCACTGAAATTTAAACAGGCATCAGCTAGACTACAATAGCTGAACACCAAAGATGAGAACCATGCTATTTTAAGGCCTACGATCAAAAGGCTTAGTTAGAGACCAGCTGTGAAAGAGTCAGCTAATCCCTATCCAGCTAATCCCTATCCACTTACCTACCCTTCCTTCCTTCCCACTCCCACACACAAAAGAAAAGACCTAAAAAACAAAGTCCACTGGGGATACTGCATTTGCCAACATGCTGCTTACAAATGCAGCTACAGTTCACTACCCAGCTTCACTCCACTGTGATGCACAGCAGGGTGGTGTTACTTCTCTAAGCCATGGCACTCATTTTTGAATATGTCACCTTTATATTATCTTTATATTACCTTTATCACATACTCTAGCAGCATTTCGCAACTACCATAGCAACATCTGTCAAAAATAAAGGTATTCTCAGTTACAGGATTTTGCTTATTTTCACACTGCAAATGCAAGAAGCTAAAGCCAATGTATTCCATTCTATTTTTAATTATACTAGAACAGAAAATAAAGCAGATTTTGCCTCTACCATACTGACACAACTTCTTCCAGATGTGTAGCAACTCTTAAATTCACACTCTGCATGCTGCAGTACACACATTTTCCTTTTTACTCAAAGAGTCTTTAGACCAAAAGAACAAAAATAAGCATGATATAAATCACTTTAGATCAAGTTAGATAAAAAGACTGGAAGCAAGTCTCTAAAAGAAAGCAGAAGAGATGACTTAATTTCCATGTAATAAACCACAGAAATTTGAGTATGAAAAAAGCTCCTGCTTTACACCCGGAGCCCCCAGAAGTACAGAATTACAATGTATGTGTTGAATAACCTGAGATTTTTATGTCAGTAGTTCCTGAGAACTGCAGCTCCTTCAACGGTGGCACTTTTTGGAAAGCTGTAGTAGGTGAATCTCAGATGTCTCCAGACTTGTATATTATCACCCTGTGATCACCTTCTGCTCAGACTGTTACCGTGAAAACTTAAATCCACCACTAAGTGATTTAGTCCTGCTGATTCTGCTCTGAAGCCTTCCCTGCATACAGACTACAAGACCTGTTAAAATGATCCTTTTATTAAAAGGAAAAATAACACCTTTTAGCAGTGAGTCATAATGACCTCCGTAATAGTTTAGGACTGGTTTTTGTCACATCACTTCAAAATCTTATACCATCATCCTACATACTACTATGAATACTAAGCTGAGTTTTCCATTTGTAATTCAAACAATTGCTTCTTTAACTAAGGACTGACCATAAATTAAAAGCTCACTATAAAAGTGTCTCAAGAGTTTACTATAATGTGAAGCAGGATTTCTCCACATACGCCCCTCCAAGCTGGGAAAGATGATTATCCTGATTTTTAAAATTACAACATTTATTTTAAAATTACAACATTTATTTTAAAATAAACTAAGGATGAAATAGTAGGTAACGATACTCTTTTTGTAGGGCTAAAAAATTACATGAAGAAAAAAACAAAGTTACACATCACTTTTAGTCCTAATTCAGCCTTGAGTTGAGTAGTAACCTAGAGCTAGATATCCTCAGAGCCAATTCAGATGAGCAGCATTTATTAGTTCTGGCTCTGCCCCAATCCTGCTCATCCCATGCTGGTTTCTGCAGAGCCACTCAAATTTACCTTGGTTTAGGTTCCAGAAAGGTTTATTAATCCAGGTGCAGTACAAAGCCCACCTACAACACTATCTCAGAACCAGGGGAGTAATACAGACACACTCAAGTGGTTTCATACGGAGGTTGCATGAGGGCTCTTTGCAGGGCTTTTTGCAGACCTCATTTCAATCAGCCCTGCCAAAGCTATGCTGACCATGTGCAAAGCCCATCTAGTACCTTCACATCCTCCTCCCCCCAGACATCCAATATCATCCAGGGTTTCCCTGCCATTTCCTCCCTGTCAACCGGGAGAAGAGAGCTGATTTCGAGAAAGAACCATTATGATACAATACTACCAAGACACACTTCAGTAAATCAAAATTTAACTCCACCAATAGCTCACAGTCATAGCAAACCATCAGATTTTCACAGTTGCAGGAAATTAAAACATGTAACTCCTACAGTGAGTTCAGCTGCAGGAAAAAAGAATAAGAAAGTCAGGACAGCACCCTTGAAACACTTCATGAAATTAAGCCACGTTTACACAGGAAGCAAGAAAAATCAAAAGAAGTGTGATATCAAGAGACATCAGACTGCTCAAAATTTTCTGAAGAGCAGAAATTTTTTCTGATGGACCAGCTAATCCTGGAAACCATTTCCAAGCACATGAAAGAAAAGAAGTCATCAAAAGCAGTCAGCATGGATTCACCAAGGGCAAGTCATGCTTGACCAACTTGATAAACTTCTATGATAGAACAACCGGCCTGGCAGATGAGGGCAGAGCAGTGCACATCATCTACCTGGACTTCAGTAAGGCCTTTGACACTGTCTCCCATAAGATCCTCACAGAGAAGCTGTCGATGTATGGAGCTGGATTAGCAGACAGGGAGGTGGACTGAAAACTGGCTGAGTGGCTGGGCCCAGAGGGAGGTGATCAGTGCCACAAAGTCTGTTTGGAGGCCAGTGACTAGCAGGGTACTCCAGCAGTCAACACTGGGTCCAGTCCTGTTTAACATCTTCATTAATGACCTGGATGATGGGGCAGAGTCTACCCTCAGCAAGTTTGCAGATGACACCGAACTGGGAGGAGTACCTGACAGGGTAGTGCTGCCATCCAGAGGGACCTTGACAGGCTGGAGAAATGGGCTGGCAGGAACCTCATGAAGTTCAACAAGAAGTGCAAAGCCCTGCACCTGGGGAGGAACAACCCCAGGCACCAGTATATGCTGGGGGCCACCCAGCAAGAAAGCAGCTTTGCAGAAAAGGACCTGGGGGTCCTAGCGGACACCAAGTTGAACATGAGCCAGCACTGGGCCCTTGCTGCAAAGAAGGCAAATGGCATCCTGGGCTGCATTAGGCAAAGTATTGCCAGCAGGCTGAGGGAGGTGATCCTTCCCCTCTACTCAGCACTGGTGAGGCCACACTTGGAGTGCTGTGTCCAGTGCTGGGCTCCTCAGTACAAAAGAGACATGGACATACTGGGGAGAATCCAACAAAGGGCCACGAAGATGATTGAGGGACTGGAGCATCTCTCCTGTGATAAAAGGCTGAGAGAGCCGGGATTGTTCAGCCTAGAGAAGAGAAGGCTCAGGGGGATCATATTAATCCTGGATTAATCCTATTAATCTTATAAATACCTGGAAGGAGGGTGCAAAGAAGACAGAGCCAGGCTTTTGTCAGTGGTGCCCAGTGACAGGACCAGAGGCAATGAGCACAAACTGAAACACAGGAGGTTCCCTCTGAACATCAGGAAACACTTTTTCCCTGTGAGGGTGACCGAGCACTGGCACAGATTGACCAGGGAGGCTGTGGAGTCTCCATCCTTGGAGATGCTCAAAAGCAATCTGGACATAGTCCTGGGCAACTGGCTCTAGGTGGCCCTGCTTGAGCAGGGGGTTGGACCAGATGACCTCCAGAGGTCCCTTCCAACCTCAACTATTCTGTGATTCTGCGAAGACGTTGTATGGAGCCTAGGACTAAGACCACACAGCAGCAGTATGAGATAGATTCCAGCTTTATCAGAGGAAGACAACGTTTCATGCTAACTGCAAACGATTACCACACTCAGTTGAAATACTGGATTAACGTGTTTGCTGGGGGGGCGGAGGGGAAGAACTCTGAAATTACTTTATGTTTCATTTCATTTCTGTCAAAAACACAGATACATACTAGCAGGAGAAAGCAGTGATATTTCTTCATGGATAGAAGAGCTGACA